CACACACACACACACACACACACAGAGGCTGGAGCTGTACGGTGAGTGGCCACTTGGCGCTTCCCTCTACCTTTTTTCCTTAGAATCTTATATTGATCTTTTTAAAATGATATATATCGTCAAACTGAGCTTCCAGGTAAAGGGAGAAGAGGACAACAAATGAGGCGCTGTGACGAACTGTTTCGTTGGAGTTTCATCGACTCATCAGGATATATATCTGTATGGTCAAACAGAGCTGCCCGGTAAACCGTAGGCAGAGAGGGAGAAAAGGACAACAAACGAAGGGCTGTGACAAACTGTTTAGAACTAAAAAATAAAGAAATGTAAAAACAAAGAGAATGTACTTTTTCAAGTTTTTCTGAATGTCCTAATCATTTTCCCATTGTTTTATTGTATTTATTACTTTATTAATTATAGAAATAGATATATAATATTATAATATTGAGATATGCATATAATTTTGTATACTATTGAAACAAATGTAATATTTCATTAAATATATCTATATATATATATATATATATGTAGAGTTTTCCATCTGGTGTGGGTGAGTGATAGTCTGCTTTGATTTTCGTCACAGGTACCTTGAGGGCAGCGGTTGGTGCCCACCTCAGGGTATCAGTTGTCGGGCAGGGTCTGCGCATCGCATCATGGAATGTCAACGGCATGGCGTCTATCCTCACCAATGATCGCAAGTGGAGCAACCTCGCCAAGGCACTGGATTGGTATGGATCACACCTGCCTGATATCCTGTGCCTGCAAGAGGCACACTTGACAAATAGCTGAGAACATCAAGTCGTCCAGCAAGAGATCCACAGAAGACTGGGATGGATAAAACAGGCTCACTGGGCTCCATTCCCGAGGGCTGGCTCATCGGGCAGAGTGGTGATCATACGTTCCAAATTGGCGGCAACACAGACTGTCCAAGTTGGCTCAGTTCAGTGTGACAACATGGAGGGAAGATGGGTAAAAGTGGACTTCGACTACAAACAAGATAGTTTGCGACTTCTTCTGTTGTATTGTCCCAGCTCACAGCAGCAAAGAACTGATCTCATAGCCACTCTCTTCCCCCTTTGGACCACTCCGACCCACCTGATAATTGCGGGAGACTGGAATGCAGCATTGGACCCAGGGCTGGACAGAACGTCCGGAGGAACCTCAGGGATGGAAGGAGCGGTTTGGGACGAGGCAGCACCGATACACAACCTCATGACAGAACAACAACTAATTGATCCTTATCGAACGCGGCCAACATGTCTTGGCTTCCAGGATTGACTTCTTTCTCATCTCAGAAACCCTCCGGGAAGCAGTACAAGCAACGGGCATCAGGCAACTCCCATACGCCACGGGTTTGAATCACAAATTCATATACCTACATCTGGTTCTTGACGCGGCCCCGAAGAGAGGATCGGTGTTGCATACTCGTGAAACACAGTCATAAGTATGGCGCAGATTCCCCGAACCGACCAGATGATACAGAGTTAATACAAATACAGCGGAAGACTTGATACACATGGACTGACTCTGACCTGACTCAGACAGCAACGAAACACTCTCAACATGTATCCGGGGTGTGAAAGCCCTGGCCTTGGACACAGAAGGAAAGGCCAGGGTCTAAGATCATACACGGACGAATGGGGGGAGAGGAGAGACGAAAGGAGGAGGAGAGGGAAGTTGACGTCAGCACCATGGATCCAGAAATAGTATCTCGAAAGTCATAAGTAACGCAAATCCGAAATGTCGTGAATACGTCTCACAGTGTCCCAGATGTCGATCTCCCAATATCAAGATACATCTCTAGAAGTAGATGAAGTCGGATCCAGAAGTAGTCCTCGACCAATGTCTCAATGTTACTATCTCAACTGTCATCAGAACTGGTCAACAGACTGCGTAATAAGTGAGGTTCAATAGAGTAGAATTAGACCTAGAGGGTAAGGAGAGAGAGAGAGAGAGAGAGAGAGAGAGAGAGAGAGAGAGAGAGAGAGAGAGAGAGAGAGAGAGAGAGAGAGACGGAAGAAGAAGAGGGTGAAAAGGCACGCCTTTTCCCCTTGGTACCTGATGCGGTGGCTATGGTGCTGCAAGGGCTGGCGCTGGGCCGTGGACTGGGCCGGTGGCTGGCGCTGCTCCACTGCTGCGCTAGTTCCTCCTCGTCGCTGGGCTCCTTCTCTCCTCGCTGCTCACGCTAGCGCTGAAATGCTGCACTAATGCTGCTAACGCTGCAACGCTGTGCTAATCCTGAAGACTAACGCGTAGACTAACCTCCTGTCTACTAACCTACCGACTGAGGCTGGTACCCAGCTGATATAGTGTTGGGTTGGCCTCAGTCCTACTGAGGGCCTTTGGGTCTGGACCGTTGATCAGGCCCAACGGTTCAGATCCGATTTTGAATCTGAAGAGTGGCGCCTAAACTGCGCCACTGGCCAGTCCTACCGATGGACCGGTATCAGGCCTAACTAGCCGTTGGGTCTGGTGGGGTCTAAAAGAGGCCTTTCGGACCCTGGACTGAACCGACGGCTCCTAGATCTACCCGGACCTAACTGGGACCGTCGTGACCCGGTAACTAGGCCTAAACTGTGCCTACTACAGAACCGGGCCCTAACTGGGGCCCGTGTGGTATCAGTATGCCACACACTCCCCCCCTTGAAGACCGAGCTAACTGCAACGGCGAAGCTGTCTGTCCAATGTCCGTACGGGGCGGGCGGGTTGGGGAGCTTCCTTAGCAAGTCGCTGTTATGCGCGAAGATAAGGGGTGTTGTTGCCTTCAGATCAGCTCGTGAAATCCAGCGTGTGTCATCGGGATCGCATTGCTTGAATGTAACTTCGTACTGCATTGGCTTATTGTCGTGCTTGTGATGAGCGAGGACGCGGTCGACCTCCTGGTAACCATCCATTGATGGAGGGTCGTGTGACCGTCTGCCCGGGAAATCCGCTGGTGAGGCTGGAGTATAGACCGCCAACTTTAAAGCGTGAAATACTGGGTGGACTGTCAAATGCGGGGGAATCTCGATTATGAAAGAGGGACCCGGGGGGTCGTCGCCAGTTGCTGAAGTGACCTTCCATGGACCAAACCACTTAGGAAGGAGCTTGCGCGAGACGTGCTGCTCGAGCGCTAACTCCTCGGAGGTGACCCAAACAAGGTCCCCGACACAGATTGGACATGGGATGAGACGCCGGTTCGCTTGCTGCTGCATACGAATCTGAGCCTTTTGCATATTTGCGCGGGCTTTGGCCAGCAGTTCACTGTACTTCCGTGTAGAAGCGGGGGAGCAAGCGGCGTCAATATCGGCAGCCCGTGGGAGCAAAATGTTTGCGAAGATGCGGCCTTTTCGTCCACCGTGATGCAACTCGAATGGAGTCACGCCGACCGCCGGGTGCACCGAAGTGTTGTAGGCAAACTCGATTTCGGGGAGCCAGTCAACCCAGTCCTTTTGATCCGGGCAGATGAGTGTGCGGAGCATCATCTGCATAGTCTGGTGCGCACGTTCCGTTTGCCCATCCGTTTGAGGATGCCATGCGAAACTCAGTTTCATGCTGGTGCCGGATTCCACCATGAGTGTTGTCCAAAAGGCCGACATGAAACAAGTGTCGCGGTCGTTGACGATGTCTTCCGGAACGCCGTAGCTGCAAAACCAGCCGGTATGTAAAAGTCGTGCTAGCTCGGGAGTCATCGCATGATACTTGCATGGAAGAAATTGAGCGTACTTGCTCAAACGGTCGACGACCGTGAGAATACCATAATGGCCAAGGCAATCGCGGGGGAAAGGACCGGTCACGTCCATAGCAATGGAGCGACCTGGTTCCCGAGGAATCGACAATGGTTTTCGTTCGCCGTACGGGAGCTGATGGCGCCGTTTGTTCCGGTGGCAATCTGCACATGACTGAATGTACCGGTTGACGTCGCTGATGATGTCCGACAAGTGAAATAGCTGGCGGAGTCGTACCAGTGTGCGTGCGACGCCAAGGTGTCCCGCCGGCCACGAATCGTGGTATTCGCCAAGGAGGCGAGTGAGCAAGATGCGGTCTTGGGGAACATACAACAAGTCCTTGCCTCACGTATGGAGAAGCAACTAGCCGTCGACAATGCGATAATTGCTTGGCGGCGGGTGATCCGATGATAAGTCCGCGTAGAGCGTGGAGAATCCCGGATCCGACTTGTAGCCATTTACGAAATGTTGTTGCAGGTCCTGGTCGAGGCCAAATGTGGAGTGCACGAAGGCGCAAAGATCGAGGCTTCACGAGAGAGCATCTTTCGCCTTGTTCGAGGGGCCCGGAATATGTTTGGAGGTGAAGTCGAATTGGTCAATGAAGTACATCCAGTGATCGATCGTGCCGCTCACCGTGTCATGCGTCTTATAATAAGTCAACGGATTGTTGTCCGTTGCCCACGTGAATCACCGACGGCCGAGGAGAAAGTGACACCAACGCTTAAGTACTGTGACAAAAGCTAGCAGTTCCTTCTTCCTCACATCATCAAGAGAATTGATGGGCGGCACCTTTTGGCTGAAGTACTCAACCGGATGCCAGTCTGTGTTGTCATGCTGTTCCAAAACCGCGCCAATGTCGTAGCCGGAAGCGTCCGTAGTCACTTTGGTAGGCAAGGTCGGGTCATAGATGCTTAAGACGGGAGCTTGAAGCAAGGCCGTCTTCCGCATATATAACGCGTGTCGGGCTTCGTCGTTGAACTCGAAGGGCACCAGGGAAGTCGCGACAATGGTGCAGCGATCCGTTGGAAACTCTTGACGAAGTGCATGTAGTATGATGCTAAGCCAAGAAAGGAGCGGATGTTGATAGTACACGCGAGGTCCGGCCAATCTTGAATGGCTTTTACTTTGTCCGTGAGCGGTCAAATGTCTTGCGGCGTAACGTAATGGCCAAGTACTCCAGCTCTTGCTGGGCAAACTCGCACTTGTCGCGGGTTTCCTTGTACTTGGCGATACGGAGTCGCTCCAAAATGGCGCGAAGGTGCTCGAGGTGCTCGTCCAACGACCAACTATAAACCAAGATATCATCAAGGTAAATAAGTACGGTGCGGTCGAGCAGGTCACGGAATTCCGTCGTCATAGCCGCTTGGAAAGTAGTCGGGGCATTAGTGAGACCGAAAGGCATGACGATCCACTCAAAGTGCCCATACCGTGTATTGAATGCGGTTTTGTACCGATCTCTTGGCTGGATCTCGATCTGGTGATATCCGGACTTGAGGTCAAGCTTCGAGAAGTACTTGGGGCCGCCTAGTCGCTCGAGAAGATCATCGATCCGAGGGACAGGGCCGGCGTTCTTGATCGTTTGCGCGTTAAGTTTCCGATAATCGATACACAAATGAAGGTCCTTGTTCTTCTTGTGGACGAAGAGAATGGGAGCACCGTATGGCGAACAACTAGGGCGAATCCAGCCCTTGGCCAAGAGGTTGTCTAGTTGTGCCCGTAGCACTTGAAGCTCCTCTTCGCTCATGCGGTAAATACATCCGCGCGGAGGTACGGCGCCATCCTCGAGAGTGATCCCGTGGTGTCTGGGCTGATCCGGTACTACTCCGGGGGGAGCTTGGAAGACATCCTCATAGCTGTCCAAAAGCTCAATGATGTGTGGGTCCGATGTGCCCGTTTTGGGCAGATCACTGGGTGGGAGGGCGTGAAGAAAACACACGCTCATCTCCTCGATGTCGTTCCGCCGGATGGATTGACGAATGCTCGCCACGGAGACCACGTAATAGCCAATCGAAGGATGAGGAAGTGGCACCATGCACGGAACTAGTTCACCACGCCGATCACGAACGTGAACGTTGCGCTGGAAAAAGTTCACCGGATGGTCTTCGCTTTGCAGCCACGGCATGCCTAAGATCATATCGAACTTAGTGTCCAATATGTCGAATGACACGGCCTCGCATGCTAGAGGGGCAAAGTACACGGGCACGGAGTCAATGCAGCGGTCAATTGACATTTGCATATGACCATCGGCCAACGTGACGTCCGTGGGCTGACTTTTCTTTCGAACGTGTGGGCCAAGCCCAGTGTGTGCCATAAAGTCTTGGCTGATGTAATTGCGAGTCGCTCCACAATTGATCAAGGCACCGCAGGTCGCCTTTCCGATCTGAATGCGGATGTAGAGGAGCGGCGCGTCGATGTCGACGTACCGTTGCGTTGCGTTCTCGCGGTCGATCTTCCCAAGATAGCTACGAAGGTCAACAACCGCTACTCTGTCGTCCGTCGACGGAGGTGGTACTGCAGCGTGCAAGTATTCACGCAGATGTGCCATTAGGGCGTTGCAATGCGGCGTTGGCAAAGAACTGGTGGAGGGAAGAGGCAACCACTAGAAGTCCTCAACCGTCAACGGGTCTAGTTCCTCAAGACTCGCCCAAGTTAGCGGATCCTCCGATAGAAGGGCTGACGAAGCAACCGGTTCGTTGTCCGACGGCGGTAACACCGTGCATGCGTTTGAATCTTGCACGTGGAGAGCCTGGTTCAACGGCGGGACCAGCTGGACATCATAGTTCTCAAAGTCAATCCGAGAACTTGCGACTACCGCGGTGTCCCCGGACATGAGAGAGACTGCTAGCAAGGCATCCGAGTCCGGCGGACTGGGAAATGATGTCGCTGCACTTCCCGTGGTGCTCAGCTTCCCGAGCCTGGACGCTTGACATTTTCTTTGTCCTTGTCGAGGCATGCACTCGTGATGTGGTTGGTGTTGTTGCACCTTAGACAGCATCCCCATTTCTGCCTCAACTTGAACATGTCTTGATACCGAATTTCGTCCATGGTGACATGGTGACTGTCTTGCTCCATTCGTCGACACTGTTTTCGCCTTGTGTTTCCCCCCACTTGGTCTTGAGCGTTGCGGTGGTATCGCTGCCACCACATCTCCGTCACTTGATGTTGAAGCGGCTGCGTGGTCCTCACTAGATCCTTGCTGGATCGTTGCTACTTGCGGCGTCCGCTGACTTTTGCCTTTCTCCACGTAACCGGGCTGTTGGCGGGCCTCGTTGGCCGCGCGCCGGTTACCTTGTATGAGCTCCCTTGCCTTGGAGATCATTGCATCAAAGGTCTCATACTGGAATTCGCTGCCAAGAGCAGCTGTCAAGGCGTCGCAAGACCGGGCAAAGAACTCGGCCTGGATTGAGTCAAACGACTGGTTCAACTCCGGGGTGGCGACGAGTCTTTGCCACTCCGTCAGCTATTCCCATGATGTTTGTTGGCCTTTGAACATGCGGAAAATCTTGTTCAAGGCGTGATGTTTGTCGTTGTTGACCATGAACCGGGTCTTCCACTTCTTCTCGAACTCCTCCCACGTGATCTTGGTGTGGAGGGTGGCGATGGTGCACTCCAACGTAACGGCCATGTGAGTCATGAAAGCCTGCGCCCCTCCAATGAGTTGGAGGTAGAATGCGTCAAGCCGTCGTTCGGGTGGGATGTACATCTGCCTCCGCGTTGAATGCCATCCACCACTGCAGCGGATCAGTCTTGTGGTAGTCGTCGAACTTCTCAATCTTGAAGTTTGGCATCTTCCATTCCTTGACGACGACGGCCGTTCGTTGTTGAACGCGGTCGCTGAGCGTCTGCAGCTGATTGCTGACTGTCGATGCTCCAGCAAACTTGCTGATGTCGCCAAGGGATGCTACCACGTGGTTGATCCGCTCCTCGAGTTGCTTGGCTTGAGCGGCCAAAGCTGGGCTGCAGTCTGCAGCTGCACTGCCCGTTGACTCAACTGCAGACAGTCGTGCCATTCCTGTGCTGACAGAGGTCAGCAGCTGGTCGTTGCTGGCCTGCTGGTCGTTGTTCGAGGTCTGCAAGGCAACTATTTTCTGATCCAGCGTCGGAAACGTTGTTTCGTAGCGGATGAAGATCTCTCGCATGGCCAGCAGTTCGCGTTGCTGCCAATTGCACGTGTACAGCAGATTCTCCATCAATACTGTTGTGGATTCCTTGTCGCTCTCTTCCTCGGTCGGCTCCTCGTGTTCTTCGGTTGCTTGGAAGTGTTGCCGTAGACGTAGCCTGCGGTACGTGGTTTAGTCTTTTGCGAGGTCCATTGTGGCCTGGTAACGAGCTTGATTCTGACTTGCCTCGACCTGCTGCTGCTGCAACCGTGCGGCTGCTGCAGCTTCGGCTGCGGCCTGCTGACGTGCTGCCTCTGCCTCTGCCAGCTGGCGTTGGATTGCCTGCTGGCGGGCAGCTTCCTTCTGTTCCCATTTGCGCAGTTCAGCTGCAGTAGTCCTGCTCAACCACGCAAGCGTGGGGAACCTTGCATTTTCTATTACATTGCCCGTTTATACTTCTTTTGTTTTTCAAAGTGGCCAGCCTTTGTACGCGAGATACATGGTCAGCGGGGAGCTGCAAAAACAAATAAAATGGGAGGCCTCCCAATGATAGTTGATGTAAACATAATCAAGAAACGATAAAATGGATTTATTTTGTTTCATATTGGTTTTATTGTTGGGCTGGCTCATCTCAAGTGTGTTGCATTGCTTGTATAAAAGCACCAGTACATGGCCCCAGCCAAGTTGAGAGTCCAATTGAGACTCTCCTAAAATTTAGTAGCCTGTCCTAAAATTTAGGAGGCTTGCGTGCCGTCTATAAAATAAATCAACGGTGGTCGGCCTCCGAATGGGGCCCGCGGCCAATGACTTGCATGTACTGGTGGTTAAAGACGAGATTCCTTGCATAAAGGTAAGATTCCTGTGATTTTGAATAAATATTGTGCTTCATGTTGCTGGATTTACAGCAAAACCATTTCACTGGTGGATTGGCTCATCTTAAGCATGCTTCATTGTCTGTAATAGAGGTGAAGTTGCTGTGACTTCGGATCTACTCATCTGGGTGGAACAGGGGATGTTGCGGTGAAATTGGTGAATATTTATAACACACATTTAGAGGTGGTTTTTTGGCTATGTCAGACTATTTTCTCAGAGTTACTGCCGTTCTTGTCTGGGGTTTAGACCGACAGTCTGCTAGGATTGCAGGTTTGGTGTGATTGAAGTCAATCACTTTTCTCAGGGGTATCGCGAACTCTGGGCGATGTGGTGAGTCCTTATCCATCAGTCAAATGTATCCTAGGCAAACTGTCGGAGTTCAACCTCCTGATGAGTCGGTGAAAGTCCGACGAATCAGTCTGGCACAGTCATGCTTTTCTTTGTGGAGTTCTGTATAGCGAATATGACAACACACGCACATTTGTTTCACTTGGAGGCTTGGAGCCTCTGAGGTCGTGTTTGGTGTTCGTCCCCCTCCCCCACCTTTTTCTTACTGATCATGTATGTTCGCGAGATGGTGATGTCATTGTCTCGTCTTGTAATTGTCTTTTTGTTCTTTTTCCAATTGACATTTATTGGGGACAAGTCATCAGCTGATGCTTCATCTTCGATTTGCTTTGCATTAAAATTTTCAAAATTGGTCATTCCTATTTGCTTATACTACTTTGGTGTCTGCAGGTGACTAGGAGTGGTGGCCAGTTGTCCGGTACGACCTGGTCTGGTCTGGCCTTAGGATCCCTAGACAAAGCTCCAATGGGCCCACAGGTTTTTTGAAGGGGCTTAGTATGGCAATACCAAAAGAAAAACAAAAAACAAAAAAAAACAAGGCATAGTGCACAGGGCTCTCTCTGATTACCAATTATAGGATACAACAGATGATACCAATGCCCTTACCCGGCTTTGGCTTATGCTGGAAAGCAGGTCAAATGTCCCATCAAGCAGCTGGTCTGGATCCCAAAGACTGCCTTATATACCAATTACCCTACCATGAGACTGGCTTGCCTACATCTCCAGTAATTGACAAAGACTCTTTGCCCAGTTCTTAACATCATTAACCTGGAAATAACCCAGCGTTAAACCACTATTTCGTCCAAGTCTCTCATTCCCAATGTGGACTTTTGCCGTGCAGTGATTTCTGCTGAGCTGGCACAGCGTGCGATCTGCCTGCCAATGCCCGCATATTCCATCCGATATGCCCAACTCGCAATTTTGTGGTGGGTCAGCCAGTGCGTCCTTACAATATAGCTGGGAAACAGATTGGTGGGTTAAACCGTAAGTACTTCCTAAAGTCCTCCCCATAAAAGGTCCTCCCTGTAAACAAACCACGATTTTAGGAAATGTACGGGCCACTACAGGAGCGCCCAAATTCATGGGACTAGAAACGTTTCTACGCTTGTTTTTTTCCGCGGCCGATAGCTGGGCCAAGCACTGGTGGTTTAAGACTCTTCAGACTGTATAATACGCAACAAGGTAGGTGTTCAAGGACACACTCAGGGCATGCCCACACTAGCAATTTCCTGAATGTGTCTGACTACGATAACGGGCAAACCTGAATGAATCTGACTGCAATCACTTCCAGAGATTAGTAGAAACAGTCCTGGTGTGTGTGCCCTCAGACCTGAACGAAGGTCGAGTGTGTCCTTGACACCTAGTTCACGACAGTCTATTTGGTTCAGGGGTCAGGAACTCGGCACTGATTTGACTCATCCGTGGCTGCCATGAACTGATAAGACAAGAGTGCTGAATCTTTCCATGACATGGTACCACAATAGCTCCACTAAGTCGTCTGTCTGAGCCCTGGGGTCAGCGGATGTGAAACAGGTCTGGCTTCCAGGTGTCGTTCCGCACAGTGCAGTCCTTAAAAGTGGAGCTCTCTCTCTCTCTCTCTCTCTCTCTCTCTCTCTCTCTCTCTCTCTCTCTCTCTCTCTCTCTCTCTCTCTCTCTCTCTCTCTCTCTCTC